TACATTTTTGTTTGTCCATCACCATATACATGTCTCCCTTCACCCCTTGTGCCCACCCCCTACCCCCATTGCCCCTGGTAACCACAATACAGTTTTCTCTGTCCATGTGTTGGTTTATATTCCACATATGAGTGAGATCATATGGTGTCTGTCTTTCTCTTTCTGGCTTACTTCACTTAACATAATAGTGAGGTTTACTTTTCACAGTGCATGAGCAGTAGAATCCACTTTTGCACTCATAGCTGAACATTTAACAAACAGATATTGATGATGACAAATTCTCTCTCTCCCTAATTATTTAGCTCTGTAAGAAGCATCATTTTGGAATTAACAAACCAGAGAAGATTATACCATCTCCTGATGACTCAAAGTTTCTACTGAAGACCCTTACGCAAATTAAATCCAATGTGTCTGCTCCTAATAAAAAGAAAGTAAGAATTTAATTGATATGGGCTTGGGATTTATCTTTGATTAGTTTTAAATTGAGGAGTAATTTTCCGCCCAGTAAACGTATTTTCAGACCACTCATCTTATTAAAGCGCTGTCTCTACGTGTCCTTGGGGTTATTTTCATTTCTTCCCTAGGAAGTTGTATATTATCCACATAATGCTTTGCATTTAATTCCTGCAGTAATAGTAGATTCATTTCTTATAGGTTAAGGAAAGTAAAGAAAAAGAGAAGTTGGAGAGAAGATTACTTGAGGAATTGCTGAAGATGTTCATGGACTCAGAATCCTTTTACTACAGCTTGACCTATGACCTGACCAATTCAGTGCAGAGGCAAAGTGCTGGGGAGAGGGACCCCCGGCCCCTTTGGCAAAAGGTACCTCTCACAGATCAGACCAGGGTTTTCCCTCAGAACAACTTATGGACCCTTTGGCTTCGGTAGGAAAACTGAAACAATGTGTTTCTGAACTGTTTATTCTCTACCTTTTCCAGGTTGATGACCGATTTTTTTGGAATAAATATATGATACAAGATCTTACTGAGATTGGTGTGAGTAGTTGTTTCCAAAATATCCTAAGTTATTTATAGTTGCTAAGCAACTATTTTTTAATTGTGTTAAAATAAATTTAAAATCTCACTATAATGTTTCCCCTATAGAATGGAATTATTTAGCTAGGGAAAACCGAGGCATTATTTTAAGGCAGTTTACAGTTCCGCTGCCTAGCCACAGGCCAATCTTTTAGCAGGTTCTCATAGGATAGTAGTAATTTAAGGCTAGGGAATTAATGTCCATAGAGTTCCTATAAAAGAGGTATTTTTTTTGCCCATTGGAAATGTTGAAGCCCAGTTTTCCTTTAATGATACCAAGTCATTTAACTTTCCTGTTTCCTCATCTGGGAATTGGGGCAGACAAATCTCTAAGGACATTCCAGGACTGCCAGTATTTGAATCAAGGAAGACAAGGAATATAATGAGATTATTGCATAAGATTCCTTCTGGTTTGATGATTACTTTCTTCCTTTACTGTCACCTGTTTTGGAGAGTTATGACTGTGCAAGGACAATTAATTCATTTACCCAGTCAATCAACAAACATTTTTTTTTTAAATTTTTATTTATTTATTTTTTTTCCCCCAAAGCCCAAGTAGATAGTTGTATGTCATAGTTGCACAGCCTTCTAGTTGCTGTATGTAGGATGCGGCCTCAGCATGGCCAGAGAAGCGGTGCATCGGTGCGTGCCCGGGATCCGAACCCGGGCCGCCAGCAGCGGAGCGCACGCACTTAACTGCTAAGCCACGGGGCCGGCCCCAACAAACATTTTTGGAAGGCCTGCTATGTGCCAGTTACTGTTTCGGACACAAAGCGGGCAGATAGCTGAGTAGTATCACATATTATCTTTTTCTTTTTCTGGTGAGGAAGATTAGCCCTGAACTAACATCTCTTGCCAATCCTCCTCTTTTTGGTGAGGGAGATTGGCCCTGATCTAACATCTGTGCCCATCTTCCTCTACTTTATATGTGGGACGCCTGCCACAGCATGGCTTGATAAGCAGTGTATATGTCCACGCCCTGGATCCGGACCCTTGAACACTGGGCCACCAAAGCAGAGTGCGCAAACTCAACCACTACGCCACTGGGCTGGCGCCTTTATTATCTTTTTCTTAACCTTTCAGAAATTTCAAACCTTTTTCTTCTTTCTATTTCTCCCCCTTGGTAGTGGTTAGTATAAATGATTTTCACTATCTAGTGGTGCCTAACACTAGATAGCTATCATGCCTCTATTGAGAATGAGGCATGAAAATGTCCTTATCTCTCTTTATGATGCTGATCAAACTATGACCATCAAAACTCTGTGATAGAGGATTGAAAATAAGGGTGTCTAAAACGAGTATTTGTCCTGTTTGCTGACATATTGAGCTCTAATATGTTTTGCAGGGTTTTTTTCAGACACTTTGCATTACCATTTAAAACTGATGACCTGCAATAAAGTTGGCATTTGGCAGCATACATTCTCTGTTCCTGTCAAGAGTTTTGCATTTATTGCTAGAACAAAAATACAAATAATGGGAATGGTGATAAAAATAGTGAATGCAGGTAGACCCTTCACTTCACTGTTTTCAACTCTAACCACTTTCCTAAGATCCTATCTGCAGGCTCCATAAAACAAAAAAAAACTGTGAAGTAGGACCTGGAGTATATGGTTATGGAAGAAGAGGTGGATTTGAAGTTGATGCTGAGATTAAGGCTAGTTACAGTTATGGAGACAGGAGAGAAAGGGGCTAAGAACAGCTCTCTCGAGCATTTTTTATCCTCTGCTCTCCCTGCAAATCGGTTGAGAAATCTGAGTATTCTTAGTCTGAAAGACACAGAAGAGGAAATCTCTAACTTTAATTAATACTTTCCTAATTATGTTGAATGACTTGTTAAAATAAGATATTTATGCAAAGGCCTTTTTTTGAGGGTTCATTTACTGCTTGGACTTTAGCTTGGTGAAGTAAGTTTTTTTCTAAACTAGAAAATAGAGGAGACCTCTGTGTTTCATAATAAAGCGATTAGAGTGATTGTATTTTATTAAAGGCATAATAAAGTTGGGGGTTAAAATCAATCTTTAGGCTTTATTTTTTTATACGAACAGGGATAATCATAATAGCCACATTTGTTAAATACGTACTCTAAGGCAGGCACTATGCTAAACACTTTTTACATTTTACTCAATCTTTAAACAACCTTACAAGGTAGTAATTTGTCCTTTTTCACAAAGCAGAAGGTGATGGCATAGTGAGGTTAAGTGCGTCACCTGAGTGAGTTAGTAAGTGGTGGAGCTTGAATCTGTAGCCCGCAGTCTGGCTCCTGTGCTGTGGTTTCTCTCAGGCAGCTCTTTTTGAATGATCACCATAAAGAAAAGGAAAGGCTCTCCCCACTACACCACCCCCTTCCTCCCTCCCTTCCTCCCTCCATTCCCTAGTGTTCTCCAATAAGCAGAAAATATGGTTAAAGAATGGAAGGTTTCTGCTTCCAATAAACCGACAAATACGTGCTAGCCACTGTTGGGGTTTAAGAAAGTAGCAGTGCTGTACAGAATAGAAACAAGGTGATGTTCATATTATTTTCAGACACCAGATGTGGACTTCTGGATTATCCCCATTATCCAAGGTTTTGTGCAGATTGAGGAACTTGTGGTTAATTATAATGAGTCATCTGATGATGAGAAAAGCAGCCCGGAGACCCCCCCTCAGGAGTCCACCTGTGTGGATGACATTCACCCACGATTTCTGGTGGCTCTCATTTCACGCCGAAGTAGGCATAGAGCAGGTGAGTACAAGGCTGTAATAGTGTGCAAATAAAATCAGGCAAGAATGGAAAATCTGTAGATGTGTTGAAATGCTGATGACAGTAATGGATTTGGAAACAGTTGGTTTCAAAGCGCTCAGTGACTCTGTGATGTACTTGGGGACCAATTATGGGAGAGAGGTGAATGGGGGAGAGTTAGCAAAAGGAGAAAGAAAGGAGGTATATACACGGGGAAGAAAAGAAAGTCGCTTGGGATGTGCTTTTAAATATCAGTGTTCCACTGCCAGCCTGTATCACAGTAATAAATCCTCCCCAAGTGCTGACACCTCTGGGGAAACCCTTCTCTTTCAGTTCACAGGAACAGTCTTAGCTTCAACTTTTAAAAAGCAATGATGCATACAGTTATGATTTTGGGTAAGTTGATACTGTTCTGCCTGACAGTTGCACATTAGATCCCCAGGGCTATTCTGAAAGACATAGATTTGGTTAAAATGCACAATCTGGTTAGACTAAATTTTTTTTAAATGTTGCTGTTATCTGTTTTAATTTTCTTCTAGGAATGCGCTATAAACGAAGAGGAGTGGATAAAAATGGAAATGTTGCAAATTACGTGGAGACTGAGCAGTTAATTCATGTTCATAATCATACCTTGTCATTTATTCAAACACGAGGCTCTGTGCCTGTCTTTTGGAGCCAGGTTGGGTATCGATATAATCCAAGACCTCGGCTAGACAAAAGTAAGCATATCAGTTATTTGGTTTGCAAATGATGATTTCAGAGGGAATACTTTTAAAAATATTGGATATTTTATAGATTTGGATTTGCTTTGCCAGATACTTCATTCAAAACAATAACTCATACAGTGAAATTTAGAAAGTGATATAATAATAGTAAGAGTAATAATGGTTGTTGACAATTTAAGTAATTTAACAATAAAAAAATTCCCCAACAAATAGAGCAAAACGTAGCTTATTTCAGATTTTAAATTATTGTTTCTTTGAAGCATACTCTATTGAATGCTTAATTTTGGAAAAGAGTAAATGCAGCCAATATTTGTAGAAGCAGGAAATATCTTAACAAGACGGCATTGACAAGAAATAGCTAAGATGCCTTGACTCAAATGTCTCACTGTGAAAGGCTTGTTGTTGTTGTTTTAAATATTGGGGATTTAATTTTCTTCTAGTATTTTTTACTTGAGCACTAGAATAGCTAAGTCATGTCCATCTAATTAGATTACTGAATGAGGTTGATTTTAAAAATTGTTTACAGAATATTTTTCTCTCAAAACTTAATTTGTATTTGTGAGAATTCAGTAAAACTTCAATTTTTAATATCCTTTTTTTAGAGGGGTTTTTATTCTTTTGTTATAAACCACATGAAACCTCTGACAAGTAGGCTGGATGTGCAAATAATAAATGTCATAATTTCACAGTTTGCACTTTCCATATGTTTCAGTTTAGTCTAATTGGGAAAAAAAGAAATGAGAGATCTTTGGCTTAGCATTTCATTTTAAAATACAGGTACTGGTTTTAGAGAATCTTAGTTTCATTTGGGCTGTCAATAAATTATTTAAAAGTAAGAGTAAAGATGGAATAGACACTAATATCTGTCTTAAACATGGGAAGGAAAAATAGATTTTGTATCACTTCTTTGTAGGTGAAAAGGAAACTGTTGCCTATTTCTGTGCCCATTTCGAAGAACAACTGAAAATTTACCAAAAACAGGTGGGCTCTGATCTAGTAACAAAATGTTCCTTCATATTTAGAAATGGTTGTGTATCTGCTTCTTTAAATTTCATGAGAATAACAATGTACTATTCGTAATTAAGCAAAATGGCATTTATCATGAAGTTGAAGAACACATAAGCTAAGAGTATTCTTAATATTCTTTAAGAATTATTATTGAGTCAGCTACTTTAGACTGTTTTTAGATAAGAGATTAGTCTACTGTGAATTAATTATTACAATCTGAAAAGTATCTAGAGTTAGAAATGAAAGGCATCTCTCAGTACCACCTACAGTTTCACCTCCTGGAGAGACAACAGTTTGATATGTATCTTTCAATATCTTTCTCTGCCCACCTTTCTTATGTATTCATACACTCATGTGTAGGAATGTGATCATATAAACAAAAATCAATTTAAAACTGTGAGGTGAAATGCAAGTTCAATAAGATGACCAGATTTCAGATACAAGATTAATATAGAAGAGTCAGTAACTCTCTCATCCATTAGCAATGACTAGTCTGAATGTGTAATGCCATGGGATGCATTTTTCTAACAACAACAAAAATAAAAGAGGAAGAAATAACCTAAAATGGAATAAACATGCAAAAAAGATACCATATGTATGGAAGAGAGGGGAGAATTACTGAAAAACACGAAAGAAAACCCAACTAAATCGAGAGAAAATACCATGTTCCTGGAAGGAAAGACTCAATATTGAATAGATTTCAGTCTTCCAAAGCTAAGATATAAATTTTGTGCAGTCCCAAAGAAAGTCCCAGCAGGGAAATAAAAAACAAACCCTCAGATTGAAAGAAATGATACAGTTTGCTAATAAGAGATAAAGGCAGGTATTTGGGGGAAATCAGAACTTGCACACTTTGCTAGAGGGAGCATAAGTTGGTACAGCCATTTTGAGTGGTATTATCAATCAAAATAAAATACACTTATATTGTTAACTCAGTAATTTTGCTTTTTTGAATCTATCCTACATACCATATACAAAAAATCAATTCCAGATGGATATGGATCTAAATATGATAAGTTAGAGGGGCCGGCCCCGTGGCTTGGTGGTTAAGTGCTCGCGCTCCACTGCTGGCGACCATGCTGAGGCCGCGTCCCACATACAGCAACTAGAAGGATGTGCAGCTACGACACACAACTATCTACTGGGGCTTTGGGGGGAAAAAATAAATAAATAAAATCTTTAAATATGATAAGTTAGAGAAAAACGTAGAATATCTTTTTGACCTTAGATCTTAAATAGGACTTAGAAAGCACTAACCATAATGAAAAAAATTGATAAATTTGACTTTATACTAAATTTTTAATTTTTATTAAAACTTTACCATTTGTTATTCATTGAAACTTTATTACAATTAAATAAGACTTAAAAAGCACCAACTATAATGAAAAATTGATAAATTTGACTTTATTAAAATAAGAACTTCTATTTATTAAAAGGCACCGTCAAGAGAATGGAAAGGCAATTCATAAAGTGGGAGAAGATATTTAAGATTTTTTAATACATATATATGACAGAAGACTCATATCTAGAATATTACAAAAAACTCTTTTAAATCCATAAAAAAAGATGTACAACCCAAAAGAAATCTGGACAAAAGACTTGATAAGACTCTTCATGAAAAAGGATATCCGAAAGGCCGATACACATATGAAAAGGTGCTCCACTTTGTTAATCATCAAGGAAATGCAAACTAAAACCACCACTCACACATCCGAATGGCTAAAATAAAAATGATGGGAAATATCTTTTGTCAAGGATGTGGAGCAACTGGAACTCTCATACAAAGAAGTTTTAAATCTCCCTGAGAGAAACATGTTCAATTAAGGAAGCATGTACAAGAACATTCATTGCAGCGTAAAAGCAACCTTATTGTTCATCAGGAGGTCAGTGGGTAAATAAAGTATGGCCCATCTGAAGTGTTGAATACAAGTGTTTCAAAACGATGAGGTCGGGGCTGGTGGTGTAGTGGTTAAGTTCACACACTCCTCTTCAGCGGACCAGGGTTTGCAGGTTTGAATCCTGGGCACGGACCTACACACTGCTCATCAAACCATGCTGTGGCGGCATCCCATATACAAAATAGAGGAAGATAGGTACAGATGTTAGCTCAGGGCCGATCTTCCTCACCAAAAAAAAGAAAAAAAGAAAAAAAGATGAGGTCAATCTGTGTGTACTAACACAGAAAGATCTTAAAATCACAGAGTGAGAAAAGAAAGCAGTAACAGCATATGGTATGTTACTATTTAAAAAATCCCACACAACAAAACTGTATCTCGTACATATATAATTCTCTTCCATATATATGTTCTCACACATCCGTGGCATGCACATTTATATAGGAGTGCTTTAATGTGGGCTGAAAGGGGACAGGAATTTACCTCCAGGCAAGGCTGCGGGACTGGGTAGTTTACCTCCAGGGAAGGCTCCAGGGCCTGGGTTGTGGTCAGGAAGGATTTGACCTTTATTCACATTTGCGTATTTTACAATGTGAATAAATTCCTGTATTAGCAATATGTGTAATTATAAATAACTACAAAGAATAAACCACAATTTAAAGGTAACACATAGGGGCCGGCCCGTGGCTTAGTGGTTAAGTGCGCGCGCTCCGCTGCCGGTAGCCCGGGTTCGGAACCCCGGGCGCGCACCGACGCACCTCTTCTCCAGCCACGCTGGGGCCGCATCCCACATACAGCAGCTAGGAGGATGTGCAACTATGATATACAACTATCTACTGGGGCTTTGGGAGAAAAATAAATAAATTATAAAATAAAATAAAATAAAGGTAACACATAATCATTATAAAAATTGAAACAGTTCTGAGGTGTGTAAAGGAAGTGGAAGAAATAACCTCCTCACCCCCCTCATCCCTGCTCCCTGTTGACTTGCAAGATCTGTTGGTACACTTCACTTTTACAGGCGTGTGTACTGAGCAGACGCTTCCTCGTTTCTGACAGTACCTTGACAGTGTTCGCTCATCCACTCTCATCCTCAGAATTGCTCTCTGGGAGGTGGGCCCACCGTGGCCCTGACTCAGTCGCAGGGGTGCCACTCTTGCTTTTGCCAGTGATTAGTTTAGGTCTGTGTCTGTTCATTGGCATTTTGACCAGTGAGGTCTAATGTGAGGGGAAGTCGGCTGGGGGCGCTTCTGAGAAAGACCTCCTGCTCTGATAAAAAGAGATACAGGAACCTGCAGTCCCGGTGGTGGTTGTGTCTGGATTTGACGTGGTACTGCTGCAGCTATGTCAAGACCGTGAGTGACCCAGCCTGAGGGTTGACCAGTAAGCTGAGGATGGCAGAACAAAAAGATGGAAAGAACTGGTATCAGTAACCACTGAATTAAGCAATTCTGAAACTCACGCAACCTCCAGACTTCTTGTTCTGAGATTTGAGTCAGTGATTTGTCATTTGCAGCAAAAAACATCTTGACACATGCGTATATACATATTCAACATTTAAGTCAAAAGAGGGCTATACCATGTGTGTCATTATTCTGCAACTGTTTTCATTTAATAGCTCATGGCTTATTGTGTAACCATTTCTCCATTGGTGGATCTTTAGGATATAGTTTTGCTATTATAAAAATTCTCCAGAAAACATCTTTTTTATATTTTGGGACACTTATGTGCTTTATAGAATAGATTTCTAGAAGTGAAATGGCTGGATCAAACAGTGTGTTTTCATTAAAGTTGATACCTACCACTCTGTTGCTCCCAAAAAGATTATACCAGTTTACACTCTCAGCACAATAGGAGCCAGTGCTCATTTCCCCATATGTTCACCAATGCTGTCTATATTTAGTATTCAATTTTTGCCTGTGTATAGGTGAAAACTAGTTTTCTGTTTTAAAATTTGTGTTTCTTTGATTATTAACAAAGTTGTAGTCTCATGTTTATTGGCTATTTGTATATTTTCTCTTGGGAATTTCCTCTGTATCTTTTACCCATTTTTTTCTTACTGGATTTATAGCACTCTTTATATATTGTTGGTTTTTTTGTTGCAGGTGTATTCCCCTAGGTAGTCCTTTGGTTTTTCACCTTTGCTTATACTGTCTTTTTTTAATTCCCCCAAAGCCCCAGTAGATAGTTGTATGCCATAGTTGCACATCCTTCTAGTTGCTGTATGTGGGACGCGGCCTCAGCATGGCCGGACAAGCGGTCCGTCGGTGCGCTCCTGGGATCCGAACCCGGGCCGCCAGTAGGGGAGCTCGAGCACTTAACCGCTAAGCCATGGGGCCGGCCCTGCTTATACGGTCATTTGTTATAGGTTTTAAATTTTTATGTTGTCACATCTGTCTACTTTTTTTATGCCCTCTGGTTTTTATTTTATGCTTAGAAAGTCATGTCCCATCCTACAATTATGGAAACATCATCCCAAATATTCTTCTAGCTTTCTGTAACATGAAAAAAAATTTAGATCATTAATGTGTCTAGAATTTATTTTGTGGGGCTGGCCCCATGGCTTAGCGGTTAGGTGCTCGAGCTCCGCTGCTGGCGGCTTGGGTTCGGATCCCAGACGCGCGCCGACGCACCGCTTCTCTGGCCGTGCTGAGGCCGCGTCCCACATACAGCAACTAGAAGGATGTGCGGCTATGACATACAACTATCTACTGGGGCTTTGGGGGGAAAATAAATAAATAAAAATAAAATCTTTAAAAAAAAAAATTTATTTTGTGTGTAATGAGATGGAGGGAGCTAAAGTAAGGTTTTTTTCCCCACTATGTAGAGAGTTATCCCAATACCATTTATAGAATAGTCCATATTTTTCCCAGAATGATATTGTTATCATATCTTAGATTCCTCAATGTACCTAGGTCTGTCTGTATGCTATCTGTTCTGTTCTATTGAGTCATTCATCTATTTCTACACTAGTACCACAGTTTTAATTGCTATGGAGTATGTTTTGCTCTCCCATGGGAGAAGTCCTCCTTTATTACTAGTTTTCAAAATTTTTTCCACATATTTGTCCTTCTAGACGAACTTTAAAATTAACTTGTCAAGTCCATAGAAAGATCCTGATCGAATTTTGATTGAGACTGTTGAGTATATAGATTAATCTGGGAAGACCTGACATCTTTACAGTATTGAATCTTGTCATCTAACACCATGATACGTCTCTGTTTATTCAGGTTTTCTTTATTTCAGCAAAGTTTTATAGTGTCCAGTATGTAGGTCTTGTATATTTCTTTAAAAATTATTCTAGAAACTTTAAGTATTTGCTATTATAAAGGACCTCGTTTTCATTATGTATCCTAATTGGTTATTGAAAATAAACAATGTATAAAACTATGAATGTCATTGATGTAAACAATTCTCATTAACTTAAATGTAACAAAGGAAAATCTAGTTTTATAGGGAAAACAATTGATGCTTGAGTGGATTAATTTCTAAGCATGGCTATAAAATATTTCTAAAACATAATTCCAAATAAATTCCTTAAAAATCACATTATGATCCTAATATCTGATTAAACTGAATTTCTTCTTTTTCTTTACTCTCACAGGTTATTATTAACTTGGTAGACCAGGCAGGAAGAGAGAAAATTATTGGCGATGCTTACCTGAAGCAAGTGTTGCTCTTGAACAGCTCACACCTCACTTACGTTTCCTTTGACTTCCATGAGCACTGGTAAGATGGCTTCCTGAGATGAGTTTTGATCAGTTCCACTGTTTGTGGTAGATGCTGCTACAGGGACCTTAGTCTTTCTTCTCTTTATTGGGAAGAAAAATTTCTTCTCCTCATTTAGAGAAAGTGAAGGAGCATAACTTGCTTACTTACTTTTAATTTTCATATAGGTTTTATTTTGGCTAACAATTTAAGTTAATTCTTCCTGAAATATTTTCAGTCTTTCTGTTCCAAAATTACATGAAGACTTAGAGTTCCATTTTCCCTTTTATTGTTCAGTTAAAGAACTCCTGGAGCTTTTTATTTCTGCTTTAGTCCGAGCCTGGCAGAAATAATAGTTTCTTTACTTAAAAATTATCTTGCTGGCTCATCTTATACTCTTTTAGTAATACTTTGTTCCTGTGGATAGATTTCACTAGAGTTTGCTCTGGAAAAACAACAATCTGTGAATCATTTCGATGGTAACCTGTGTGTATTTTGAAAGCAAGTTTCTTTTGTCATAATTCTGGGTCTAATGTGGGTTCATTTACCTAGGTATTGAAAATTTGGTGGGGAAAGAAACTTCAGATCCCTTGATATGTTTCAGTGTATTCTTAAGCATATTTACTTTCACAATGCGGATTAGTTATAAACATTTATAAAATTGTCTATATAATTTATAGTAATGGTAATCTCATGTGTTGATTTTCTTAATTTTTCCAAGCAACCTTAAATATCATAAGTTTTAAAAAGAAATGCCATTAAAGATTTTTTCTTTCTTTTGGCATGTATTTTAGCCGAGGAATGAAGTTTGAGAATGTTCAAACACTGACAGATGCCATTTATGACATTATTCTTGACATGAAGTGGTGTTGGTAGGTATTTCATAAGTGAGTTTGACAAACTCTTGGTCTGTGAAATCATATGTATTTGTCTAGTACCACTAAGCATTAAAATAATAGCAGCAAGCTGAGAAAGCATTTTTGTTTTGCTTCCCAATTCCTATTCTCCTTTTCAAGAGAGTGTTAGTCAATTAGGCAGTGTTAGCTTTTTTTTTTTTTTTGTTGAGGAAGATCAGCCCTGAGCTAACATCCATGCCAGCCCTCCTCTTTTTGCTGAGGAAGACCGGCCCTGAGCTAACATCTATTGCCAGTCCTCCTCCTTTTTCTCCCCAAAGCCTCAGTAGATAGTTATATGTGATAGTTGCACATCCTTCTAGTTGCTGTATGTAGGACACTGCCTCAACGTGGCCGGACAAGCGGTGAGTTGGTGCGCGCCTGGGATCCGAACCTGGGCTGCCAGTAGCGGAGCGCGCACCCTTAACTGCTAAGCCACAGGGCCAGTCCCCATAGGCAGTGTTAGCTTTGAACAGGGAAAAGGTGTCAGATGGTTGGGCAAAATGGAGTGAAAGGCTCTATGACTGTTCTTTAATTCCTTCTGTTGCTCCATGGTCTGCCTTCCTCTTTCTCCTCTTTCTCACCATCCCTAACGTGAGAAGGAAGGATTTGAGGTACTTGGTCTCAGTTTTCAGTCATTTCAAAATTATCAGAGAAGGAAGACAATTCTCAGACTATAGGAGGGAGATGTAGAAAGAAGAAATTGGCTTAAAGGACAGAAGAGAACATTCGATTAGACTTTAAGGCCGCGAGTGGCCAGAGAAATTAGATGAGCAAGGCCTGCTGCATGACTCCTCACTGGGTGGCAAAGTGAATTAGTCTGTTCAAGCGAGTTTAGATGCATTTCTGTGTGGAGTTGGAAAGGAGGGACAGGATGGTGTTTTAAAGTGCCTTCTGGTTTTAAATGTGTAGAAAAGCATAATTTAGGGTTGTGTCAGCTCTGCCTAGTAGTTGTGTGACTTGGGGCAAGTCACTCTTTCTACACCTCAGTTTTGTTTTGTTTTTTAAATGGGGGTAATAATATCTTCCTTGTCAAGTTATTGTGTAAATTAACAACAGTGTCTACGAAGGACTCAATCATGCCTGCCATGTAATAATATTCCAAGCAAATTGATAACCACTGCTGCTGTTTTTATTGTTATATTTAAAGAAGTATGATTTTGGAAAACTTACTAAAGTATTTCATATTGTAAAATAATCCCATACTATTTTTGAAAAGGGTTGATCAAGCTGGTGTAATCTGTAAACAAGAAGGGATTTTTCGTGTTAATTGCATGGACTGCCTGGATCGCACCAACGTGGTCCAAGCTGCCATCGCACGAGTGGTCATGGAACAGCAGGTAATTTGGAGTCCGTTGGATTGTAAATATTCATTTTTATTTTAATGTATAAACGAATAACTAAAATCTTTGTCCTATAGAACATTTACAGCATACAAACATCCTTCTTGCATTAAAACCCAGAAAGCTTTAACCTTAAGTAGAAGTAAGTTGAATCAAACAGTATTTTCTTAAGTACTCTTTTCAAAAATGTGAGGCCCAACATTTGAAAATTTATTGGGTGGCACCGTGTGGTCATATACCTTTTTTCCTCTCAGCTCCAAACTCTCTCTTCTGTATTTGGGGCTGGGAGTCTGTACATCACATTTCTGCTCGGTCGGCCAGCTCCATGTCAGGCTCTGCCAGTAGGGGGCGCTAAAGGAAGACCATGAGGCTGGAGGAGGAAAAAGGAACAAGCTTCTTCACCTGTGATATATTCCTGTCAGCAGCACCCTCTCTGGGGCTGTTGGTTCCTTTGGCACCACAGAACCAGCCTCTTCCCTTTATACCCCAGTTGGTGGAACTGCTTCCTGCAGTTATGATGTCTGTTACTCAGTGTCCCCTTTTAGATCTTTCAGCCCTCCAACACCTGGGTAACCAATTCTCAAGGTGGAAATTTTTAGCATGGTTTCTGGGTTTTTTTGATAGAACCTAATGACTATCCTTTGAGGATGTGAGTCTGTTCCTTCTAATGTCTCATTGAAGTACCACGCTTTTGAGTCCACGCCTGGGCTCTTCCACACACTAGGTGTTGACCTCATGCAAAGAACTCAGCCTCTCCAAACTTCTGTCTCCTCGTCTTTAAAACGGAAGTAATAAGAGTATTGATTGCGTAAGGTTGTTATGAGGAGTAAATGAGATAATTTATGTAAAAAAGCTCTTAGAACCCTAGACCTAGCGCAGAGTTAACACTTATTGGTCACTGATTGTTCTGCTACTATTAATATTACTGTTGTTTCAATGCGCTTTTTTGATAGTTTCACTCCATAGGCAAATTTAAAACAAAGACAAAATATAATATGAGCCTACACATTAAAAATTACACCAAAACAGTATAAATATTTCATTCTATTTATTCTCCTGTAGCAGTTCATAAAACTCTCTCTCAAGTGGTACTTTATTTTAAAAAAGTCTGAAAACACCATTTCTTTTATTTAAGGGTCCTAAATTGTATATGAACATTCTTCCTTTTTCTGCAATATATATTGGATGCTGTGGTTTCCTGGCTTATATGTAGTTAATCTACCAATGTGTTGATTTTAGCTGAAAAAATTAGGTGTGATGCCCCCGGAGCAGCCACTACCAGTGAAATGCAATCGGATCTATCAGATAATGTGGGCCAACAACGGTGACTCCATCAGCAGACAGTACGCTGGGACAGCTGCTCTGAAGGTAAATAGCTGCAGCAAGCATTTGTGGATCATTCTGTGGGACACAGAATGTGGTTTAAAACCAACTTTGTTTTTGAGAGAAATATAGGTGGGCTACGGGTGGTAGGTCTATGTAGTTGACTCCTTTCTGGAATGTTTAGCTAAGGCAAGGGTCACATATTTGAATTCCTACTGGGGCCAGGTAATGTGACTCAAGCAGGCCACCCATTAGATTAAAGGGAGAGATGGGGCTGTGTGGACCTAAGGAAGAGCATATGTTGTCTCAGGAGGGTGCTGTTCTGCTACTTCCTTATGGGGACAGGGGCCCAGTGTTACTAGATCTTCCAGTTTTTCAAGGGAGTTTGGAAATCTGGAATTTTATGTAAAATAGTTTTTAAAACTTTATACAGACAAAGCAAAACATGTCTGTTGATAGGATTTGGTCCCTAGTATGATAATTTGTCTCCTCTGAATTTGAATCCCAACCCTGCCTTTTACTTGCTTTGTGACTTTGGGCAAGTCACTTAACCTCTCTGTGTCTGTCTCCTCATTTGTAAGACGGGAATAATACTAGGCCCACCTCAAAAGACTCTCATGGGATTATATGAGTTAATGTATGTGAGGGCTTAGACCATTCCCTGGCACAAAGTAAATGCTAAATAAATGCTTTATCATCTTTTTAGGGTTGTTATAAATAGTCTTTTGAGGCTCCAACAGGGCTAATCTTCAAAGAACTTAATTTAAATGTAAAATATAGTCACTGGTCACTAAATACTACCTCTGTGGGCAATAGGATGTGGTTGAATTAGTTTAAATTAGGTTTGTGTTAATTTTCCTTCAAGCTAATAGTTTGTCTCAGGATATTTCTTATAACAAATTTCTTATAACATCAAAGGCTCATTCCATCTTTTGGTTGAATGATAAATATCAAAAAGCTTTTTATTAATTAAGGAAATTGAACTTTAGAAGTCCTTGTACAATTTGTTGTTTAAAGAGATATACTTCTTATGTATCCAACATTGGAGCAACTAAATATATAAAGCAAATAGTAACAGAACTAAAGGAGAAATAAACAGCAATACAATAATAGTAGGGGACTATAATACCCTGTTCTCAACAATGGATAGATCATCCAGGCAGAAAATCAATAAGGAAATAGCAAATTTGAACAACACTATAGATCAAATGGACCTAACAGACATATACAAAACATTCCATCCAACAGCAGCAGAATACATTCTTCAGAGGTGCACACAGAACATTTTCCAGGATAGATCATAAAACAAGTCTCAACAAGTTCAAGAAGATAGAAATTATATTAGGTATCTTTTCCGACCATAGTGGTAAGAAACTAGAAATCACTAACAAGAGGAAAATTCACAAATATGTGGAAAAACACTCCTGAGCAAACAATGGATCAAAGAAGAAATCAAAAGAGAAATCAAAAAATATCTTGAGGGGCCGGCCCCGTGGCTTAGCGGTTAAGTGCAAGTGCTCTGCTACTGGCAGCCTGGGTTCAGATCCCGGGCATGCACTGATGCACCACTTGTCTGGCCATGCTGAAGTGACATCCCACATACAGCAACTAGAAGGATATGCAACTGTGACATACAACTATCTACTGGGGCTTTGGGGAGGAAAAAAAAAAATAATATCTTGAAACAAATGAAAATGAAAACAACATACCAGAACTTATAGGATGCAGCAAAAACGGTTCTAAGAGGAAAATTTATAGCTTATAAATGCCTTTAGTAATAAAAAGGAAAGATCTCAAATAAACAATCTAACATTACATCTAAAGGAACTAGAAAAAGAAGAACCTAAGCACACAGTTAGTAGAAGGAAGGAAATAATAAAGATTAGAGCAGACATATATGAAATAGAGAATAGGAAAACAGTAGAAAAGACCAATGAATCTAAGAGTTGGTTTTTGAAGAGATAAATAAAATTGACAAACCTTTAGCAAGACTAACCAAGAAAAAGAGAAGACTCAAATAAAATTATAAATGAGAGAGACATTACAATTGATACCACAGAAATATATAAAATCATGAGAGACTACTCTGAACAATTATATGCCAACAAATTGGAAAATGTAGAAGAAATGGATACATTCCTAGAAACATACAACCTACCAAGACTGAATCATGAAGAAATAGAAAATCTGAGCAGACCAATGAGTAAGGAGATTGAATTAGTAAGCAAAAACCTCCCAACAAAGAAAAGCCCAGAACCAGATGGTTTCACTGGTGAATTCTACCGAACATTTAAAGAACTAATGCCACTCCTTCTCAAACTCTTCTAAAAAATACAAGCGGAGGGAACACTCCCAAACTCATTTTATGTGAGGCCCTGATACCAAAGCCAGATAAGTACACTATAAGAAAAGAAAATTACAGGCCAATGTCCCTGATGAATATAAATGTGAAAATTCTCAACAAAATACTAACAAACCAAATTCAACAGCACATTAAACCGTTAAACCACTGCATGATCAAGTGGGATTTATCCCTGGGATACAGGGATGGTTCAACATACACAAATTGATAAACGTTATATACCACATTAACAAAATGAAAGACAAAAATGATATAATCTCAGTAGATGCAGAAAAAACATTTGACAGAATTCAACATCCTTTCATGATAAAAACTCTCAAGAAATTGGGTATAGAAGGAACACACCTCAACATAATAAAGGCCATGTATGACAAACCTACAGCTAACACCATACTCAATGGTGAAAAGCTAGAAGTTTTTACTCTAAGATCAGGAATAAGACAAGGGTGCCCACTCGCACCACTTCTATTCATCATAGTAGTGGAAGTTCTAGCTAGAGCAATTGGGCAAGAGAAAGAAAGAAAATGCATCCAAATCGGAAAGGAAGAAGTAAAATTGTCTCTGTTTGCAGATGACATGATCTTATGTATAGAAAATCCTAAAGACTCCGCAGAAAACTTTTAGAACTAATAAATAAATTCACTAAAGTTGCAGGATACAAAATCAACACACAAAAATCATTTGCGTTTCTATACACTAATAACAAACTATCTGAAAAAGAAAGAAAACAATCCCTTTAAAAATAGCATCAGGGGCCAGCCCAGTGCCGCAAGCGGTTAAGGTTAAGTGTGTGCTCTCCGCTGCAGCGGCCCAGGGTGTGCCAGTTCGGAACCCCGGCCGCGCACCAACGCACTGCTTGGCAGGCCATGCTGTGGTGGCGTCCCATATAAAGTGGAGGAAGATGGGCATGGATGTTAGCCCAGGGCCAGTCTTCCTCAACAAAAAAAGAGGAGGATTGGCAGATGTTAGCACAAGGCTGATCTCCTCACCAAAAAAAAAAAAAATAACATCAAAAACAATAAAATACTTAGGAATAAATTTAACCAAGGAGGTGAAAGATCTGTACACTGAGAACTGTAAGATATTGATGAAAGAAATTGAAGAAGATACAAATAAATGGAAAGATATCCCGTGTTCATGGATCAGAAAAATAAATATTGTGAAAATTTTCGTACTACTCAAAGCTGTCTATAGATTCAGTGCAATCCCTATCAAAATTCCAATGGCATTTTTCACAGGAATAGAAAAAGCAATCCTAAAATTCATGTGGAACCACAAGACCCCTAATAGCCAAAGCAATCCTGAGAAAGAAAAACAAAGCTAGAGGCATCACGCTCCCTGATTTCAAACTATATTACAAAGCTATAGTAATCAAAACAATATGGTACTGGCATAAAAACAGACACATAGACCAATGGAATAGAACCAAGAGCCCAGAAATAAGCCCACGGATATACAATCAACTAATATTTGACAAGAGAGCCAGGAATACTCAATAGGGAAAGGATAGTCTCTTCAATAAATGGTGCTGGCAAAACAGGATCTTCACATGCAAAAGAATTAAATTGGACTCTATCTTACATCACTCACAAAAATTAACTCAAAATAGATTAAATGGGCCGGCTCCGTGGCTTAGCGGTTAAGTGTGCGCGCTCTGATGCTGGCGGCCCGGGTTCGGATCCCGGGCACGCCCCAAGGCACCACTTCTCCGTCCAACGCGAGGCCGAGTCCCACGTACAGCAACTAGAAGGATGTGAACCTATGACATACAACTATCTACTGGGGCTTTGGGGGGAAAAAAAATGAATAAATAAAATCTTTAAAAAAAAAAAAATAGATTAAAGACTTAAATGTAAGACTGAAACTACAATTTACTCTTACAAGAAAACATAAGGGAAAAGCTCCATGACATTGATCTTAGCAATGATTTTTTGGATGTGACACCAAAAGCATAATCAATAAAAGTAGAAATAAACAAGCAGGACTACATCAAATGAAAAAGCTTCTGCACAGCAAAGGAAACAATCAACAAAATTAAAAGACAACCTACAAAATGGGAGAAAATATTTGTAAACCATATATCTGATAAAAGGTTAATATCCAAAATATGTAAGGAACTCATACAACTTAATAGCAGAAAAACAAATAATCTGATTATAAAATGGGCAAAGGACCTGAACAGACATTTTTCCAAAGAGGGTATACAAATGGCCAACAGGTATATGAAAAGGTGCTCAACATCAGTAATCATCAGGAAATGCAAATCAAAACCACAATGAGGTATTACCTCACTTTGGTTAGAATGGCTGTTATCAAAAAGATGAGATAATGTGTTGGCAAGGATGTGGAGTCAAGGTAACCCTTGTCCATTGTTGGTGGGAACATAAATTGGCACAGCCATCATGGAAAACATATGGAAGTTCTTCAAAAAGTTAATACCATATGATCCAGCAATCCCATGTACAGGTATATATCTGAAGGAAATGAAATCAGTATATAGAAGAGATATCTGCACCCCCATGTTCATTGCAGCACTATTCACAATAGTCAAGACATGGAAACAACCTGAGTGTCCAACAACAGGTGAATGGCTAAAGAAAATATACTCTGTGTGTGTGTATTGGGTGGAATATTATTCATCTATAAAAAGAAGGAAATCCATTTGCAACAACATGGATGAACCTTGGGGGCATTATGTTAAGTGAAATAAGCCAGAGAAAGACAGATACTGCATGATCTAACTTATATGTGGAATCTAAAAAAGTCAAACTCATAGAAACAGGGAGTAGATTGGTAGTTTCCAGGGGATGGGGAAATGGGGAGATGTTGGTCAAAAGGTTCAAACTTTCAGTTATAAGATGAATTAATTCTGGGGATCTAATGCACAGCATGTTGACTATAGTTAACAATACTGTATTGTGTCCTTGAAATCTGCTACTATACTTGAAATTTGCTAAGAGAGTAGATCTTAACTGTTTTCACCACACATGTACAAAAAGAAACAATGTAAGGTAATAGATATGTTAACTAACCTTGATGTAATCATTTCACTATATATATATATACACACACACACACACACACACATATATACATATACACGTTATACACCTTAAACTTACACAATGCTTCTTATCAATTATATGTCAATAAAGCTGGAAGAAAATACTTGTTTTTTTCCCTTTGGTATTAAACTTCTTTGGACACAGCAGTCATGTCTCTCTTCTGTAATAGATTCTTGTTGCTAAACTAATATTTCTTGTGAATGACTTGACTAATTGGCAACATGTTCTTCCTAAATTGTCGGTTTTAGGACAAGCCCTGTTTCTGAGATTGCCATGGATAGAAATAGTGGGGTTGGGATGGGATAAAAAGAGACCGTGCTTTACTTGCCTGAAGTTTAAATCACCACCTCTCTAGGGACTTGCTCTGACACCTTTGTTGTGAAAAGCAAGAGAAACAGAACAATTAAATCTTCATTGGATCGTTCTACAGTGATTGTAATGTGCAGCAAGGTACAGAAACCTCTGCTCTCTCTCTGTATACGTGCATCCACATCCACAGGTTAAATTCCATTATAATAAACTAGGGAACTGTCCACATTTTCCCACGTCAGAAATTTGTGGTTTTTGAATGTCATACTAGTTTGAGGCTTGAAAATGTTTTTGTTGTTTGTTATATAATAAGTTTTGACCTGTAAATTCTAGAAATTCTACAGTTTGCCAAGAATTGCTTTACCTTAAAGCGCCATCTAACTGTGAAGACTTGATGCCACAAATAGCATGTTTAGTTATTTGACTAAAGTACTAATAGAGTAAAGTACTAGTAGATATTCTAATTTAACTGCATTATTTGGAAATTGTAAAAACCTGTAGAATTCTAGTCTTGAATTGAAAGCCCACATTGACTTGGAGAACATTCTTGTGTTTGAATAAATTGTCAAAATGACTTTTTTCCTTGACAGGGTGACTTTACAAGGACCGGAGAAAGAAAGTTAGCAGGAGTTATGAAAGATGGAGTTAACTCAGCAAATAGGTATTACCTGAATCGATTTAAGGATGCTTATAGGCAAGCTGTTATAGGTAAGGAACATAAATGCCTTTCTTTAAAATTTGTTATTCCTTCTGTGACTAACGTTTTACAGAAACCAACTTCATTAACATAGTTTATATGTTTTATAATATACTTGTGTTTTTTGTGTGTGTGTGTGTGTGTGAGGAAGATTAGCCCTGAGCTAACATCTGATGCCAGTCCTCCTCTTTTTGCTGAGGAAGATTGGCCCTGGGCTAACATCTGTGCCCTTCTTCCTCTACTTTATATGGGATGCGCCACAGCATGGCTTGACAAGAGGTGTGTCGGTGCGCTCCTAGGATCTGAACCCGCGAACCCCGGGCCGCCGAAGTGGAGCGCACTTAACTGCTATGCCACTGGGCCAGCCCCTATACTTGTGTTTTTATATTGAGCATCTTACCCAATAAATCAAATTAAGATTAGAATTCGACAAATTTTTTAAGCTGGACTAACGAGAAACCACTCATTTCCATACGTATTTGTCAGTTTGCTATTCCTGTAACAAAAGGCAGGGTTGAAGCTCCTGGAATATGGAATAAGGTACCCTAAAACCTCATCAACTGAAAATTCCATATTCTGTTTGTTTTTTCATTACTCAAGGCTGAAAGATGTAACAAGATTATTTTCTTTCCGCATAAGACATTTATCATATGTTCTTGCTGTGGACAAATACACCATCCTTTCCTATAAACATGATTTAATAGGACGTTAGGGTATCAGGTTTAGAGATTATCCTAACCATTTCTTATCATTATTTAGAAGAGGAAATGGAGGGTAGATTGCCCAGTGGAATTCCTGCCTTGGCATGTTTTTTAATTTAATTTTCATGAAAGTATTACCTTGTAGGATTAATGTAAATGTAGAGTGTTCTGGAGTAGAACCAAATATAACAGCTTATCCTGAGAATATTTTTAAAATCCTATTTTTGACTCTGATTATTTATCATACACCAAATAGTAGAGCCTAGACACAGGCCAGTTAGGAATTTGAGGAGTCTTGTGTAAAGAAGTTTGGTTCATTAGCTACAGATACGGTGTGTTCTGACTGGAAAAACGGATTTTAGTAGTTTAGTCAAAGAAAAATAAGATACCTTTTTTCTGTTTTCATCCAAACCTGAAAACCCTGGATTGCCCAAGCAGAGTACGCAAACTTAACCACTGTGCCACCGAGCTGGCCCTATGCCTATGTTTTCTTATAAGAGTTTTATTGTTTTAGGTCTTACATTCTCTTTTATTTTTAAAAATGTATTAGTAAACTAAAATCATGATAGATATTAACACTTTCTACTCTAGATTTGATGCAAGGCATTCCAGTGACAGAAGATCTTTATTCCATATTTACCAAGGAGAAAGAACATGAAGCTTTGCATAAGGAAAATCAGAGGAGCCACCAGGAACTAATTAGCCAGCTCTTACAAAGTTACATGAAGTTACTGCTGCCTGATAATGAAAAGTTCCATGGGGGCTGGGCCCTCATTGACTGTGACCCCAGGTGAGTTGGAGTGGTGTCCTGGTAACTAACGTGCTTAAATTTCTGATGCCGTTAAGTTGTTGTAATGAATAATAGCAGTTGTCCATAAAGCCGTGGGCATGGACGCATGGTGCATGGCAGTTTTAAAATACAGTGCTGGTACTGAGGCAAGCTGACTGAGGCACTTGCCTTAGGTGCAAAGTTAAGGAGGCACTAAAAAACTCAGTAATGAAAACAAATATTTTAATACAATATTTGATTTAAAAAAATTGTAAAACTATGGTTTGCAGCTGGCTGTGTGGGTTTTCTCCCACCGCCAGAATCTAGGTTTATTGTATTAATGCACATAACTGAGTACAGCAAGAGGTGCAATGATGCTAATTACTTTGATCAGTTGTAAAGTGGTCCTGGCCTTGCATAAAAAAAAAATAGACCAACCAGTGCTTAATACTTTTTTAACAAAAATCATCCAGTTTTAAGTGGTTCTTTAAAATATCAATGAATGGCAGGATCTAAATTTATCCACCAGATTGAATGCTTGCTTTTAGGCTGAAATCTAAAATTATAATTTTCAATATTATGAATCAGAAATATTTCAGAAAATTCTAGACCAAGTTCTGAGAATAAAAAGCTCTATTTAGATTTTAGCTTATTTTAAATTTCATGTGTTTTTAATAAAAGGGGCATAAAACAAGCTTGAAAGAACAATGGAATGAAGGTAGTATTTATATGTTAAAATTAATTTTAAAAATATTGACTCTAGTTTCATAATGAAACCTTCCATGACTTTTATTTCATGGATTATTTTGCTTTTATAGTCAATACTATATGTATGGATGCAATTTGTGGACTCTTAAAATAAGAGATGAGGTTTTCCTTACACACAACTTAGCAGAAAATTTCTGTGCTCTTATAAGCCATTTGGTAAAAAGTTTTTTGATTCATGTACCTTAGTTTTTTTTTTTTTTTAATAGCAGCAGTCCAATTTAATGCAGCACCAAAAAAAAAAAAAAGGTAGTACTCTTAATTCTCATCCAGAAATATCTGCAGGTAGCACACCTGCATTTTGCTTAAGTTTTAACTTTGTACTTCAGTTTTTTAAAGGTCTTGTGATTGTCAGTATCATCTTCCTTAGATTAAGTATTTTTATTTCCACTTTGGAGATAATTGAAATAGGGAACGACCAAAAGATTTATTTCTAAAACTATTTTGTAAGGTCACATTACATCTGATTTGATTTCCAGTCCTGTAACTCTTGTGTAAAGTTGGTATCCTTGTTTAGGAGCATAAAAAAAATGTAAAGTGTGTTTAGCTATGCTCTTTAAAGCTTGCAGCAAAATTTGGTTAAGCACACTTGTTAAGTGTCAGTAGAAGTCTCTTGCATTGAAGAAAAAGATGCACGAAAACACTCAAGCTTCTTTCTGGCAACTGAACTCACTGGCACAACATAAATTAATGGTACTATATTGTACCAAAATAATGCTGAAACAAGACTAGTTTTCTAAGATCACGTCTTTAAGAAATCCTTGTTGGGTAGTTAGATTCCTAAATCCCCTAATAAGTTCCCAGCTACCAAATGCCTACTTCAGAAATACAATTGTGCTTCAGTTTTCTCTTTTCTTCATTAACATGATGAAACACTTCTTGTTTTTTCTGATTTTTCGACTCCCACCCCTCTCTAGTGCCCAGCAATTGCACTCTCATTTTACCTTAATCCTGCACTATAAAATTTGGCTTTCTGATAACAGAGAGCCGGTGACTTTCCTCTGCTCATCTTTGGTTAAAGCTCCTGATGAAGAATAAGTTACATCATAGTACATGCTAGACAGCAGGTGTCACTGCATCCTTCCCTTTTTGCTCGTTGGCCCCTTTGGGTTATAGAGGTGAGGAGCACTGTCCAAAACAGCAAGAGCTCACTCTTCCTTCACTGCAAGTTAAGCTTTCAAATTCCAGTGCATTATCAGGTTTTCAGTAAGTGGTGTTACGCCCAAAGATTATCAATGTCTGTTTGCAGATAGTCTCACATTTCATGATGGATGATGAAACCTTTGTGTGCTTCCATTTCTGTGCTTGTAAGTTCATTTAGTTCTGTACTTATTGCTGCCTTGTCTGTAGGTCTTAACCTGGCCCAGGACTTGTGTGCCTTGTGGTCCTAGTCAGGGGAATTAGTGACCTCTACACACTCATTAAATGCCAGGATCCTTCGTGCTTGTAGCTCTGCCACTGTGGGTCTCAGCCCAAGCTTTCTGCTGAGTTTGCCCTTTAGTTCCATTTTTGCTTCTTGTTCTCCTTCTTCATTCTTTTGTTTTAGGATATCTCTTTGCTCTAATTCTTCAGTTGTGGGCCTCTGGCTAAGCCTCCTATTACCAATTTGTTCTTGGATTCCCTGCCTCTCTTCTTCACTGCCTCTCCTCTTCACTTCTTCAGATGTCACTGCAAGGTGTTTTGTCTTCTAATTCTTTCTTAGATGCTTGGTTGTTAAGTTTGATTGTGAGAGTATCCCTTGGCCTATTTTACTTGCCAAAGCATACCTACCACTGCCATCCTTGTCCTCTTCTTCTTCCTCATGGTCATTGGTGGACAGAATAGGCCCACCAGAGTCAGAGTCATGGGTCTAGTGATATTCTTTGACCTTTGTCTTATGGGACAACGAGCGATACTGAAGATTGTCCCATCAGCCCAGGTCTCCTTGGCTGAGATGCAGCCTTCCCTGTCTCGTTAGTGCTAACATGTAAGCCGATGCTGATGGAGAATGGTTCTGTGTGTTGATTCTTCAGTACAGACATTGACTTGGGCCTAAGGAGAAATGGGCAGGGAGCTCCATTGCTAACCAGGACAACAGGAGTGCCTGAGGGAATGACGTATTGATTCTTAAGAGGGGGAGAGTGGCAGTGGGGCCACAGACTTGTGGAATTTGTCTGTGGTCTACTCCTTGGTGGCAGGGACAGACTTCTCAGGATTGAAACTTTCCACTCTGATCTTGGAAGGATCTCCTCTAAGGTTGACCACACCAGAAGTGGTTGCATTTGACAATAGTTGAGGTCTTAGCTGCTTGCTAGTTTTTTCTTGTGCTTCGTGGTTCCCACTGTTACTGTTTTACTAGAAACTGCCTCCATTGAAGCTTTGGGACAGGATGATGTGGATGCAGTAGATAGTGGAGCTGATGCTTTGGAACCAGTGACTTCGCAGGTCATTTTTTGGGCTTGTTGGCTTGGGTAGAAGGCCGGGGCCTGCCTACCAAGTGTCTTGGTATCTTTGCTTTAATGGGAGGCGCTTCACCATGCTGTGGCTGGCCCCAGTGTGGGCCCCTTTGGGAGGAACAGGTGGCTTTGGGAATTAGGTTTGGGCCTTGGAGGAGCTGGAGCAGGAGCTACCAGTGTTTCAGAGTGGTCTTCAATCTTTTCTCTTCTGCCTTTTCTTCCAGAGGCGGTGCTTTTTCAGATACAGAACTATTACCATCTTCAGATTTCACTACATTTTCCTCTCAGGTGGATTATTCTCTGAGGTATCATGTCCCATTTGAATTTCTAAAGCTAACTGTATGTCTCCATCTTGATTAGACAGTTCTTTAAGAACTCTCCTTCTTATTAGCTCCTCTCTACTTTGTCTTGTGGTTATTATCCTTTCTTTTTTTCTTTTTATTGAGGTAACATTGATTTATAATATTGTATAAATCTCAGGTATACATCATCATTATTATCCTTTCTAATACTGCTAAGAGTTCCTTAAATTTGGTATTTTTCTTCATTTGCAAGGCTTAAAGATTTTCCAAATGGTGGATAGTTTTCCCTTTGTCTTGAAGGGAGATGTTAGGAAACCTGCTCTTGGGCTATCTGAGTTGGCTGTAGAACCTTTGTACAATCTATCAACTGAGCTGGAGATGTGGACCCGGAGCAGGCAGCCCCTGGTGGAGGACGGCGAGAGGTAGCTGGCAGAATGGCTGTAGGGGCTCAGGTCCCTGGACAGCCAGCCATCGGTGGGCTTGGGGGCTTCAGCAGCTGGCACCTGCCTGCCTGCCTGAGCCATCCACTCCTGGGCTTGTGTGTATAGTTTTTTAAAACACATTGAGATATAATTCATATACCATACAATTCACCCATTTAAAGTGTACAATTCAGTGGTTTTTGGAATATTCAGAGTTGTGCAATCATCACCACGGTCAATTTTATAACATTTTCATCACCAAAAGAGAAGCCCCATACTCGTTAGCTGTCACTCCCCTTTCCCCCCAAACACCCCCAGCCTGGAGCAACTAATCTACTTCTGACTCTCTGGATTTGCCTATTCTGGACATTTCATATAAATGGAATCATATGATATGTGGCCTTTTGTGACTGGCTTCATTCACTTAGCATAATATTTTCATGGTTCATGCATCTTGTAACATGTATTAGAACTTCATTCCTTTTTTATAGCTGAATAGTATTCCACTGTATGGATACACTACATTTTGTTTATCCATTCTTCCATTAATGAGCATTTGTTTCTACCTTCTGGCTATTGTAGTGATGCTGTAAACACTCATGTACAGGTTTTTCTATGAACACCTATTTTTCTTTTGCGTATATACCTAGGAGTGGAAATTGCTGGATCATGTGTAATTCTCTGAACTTTTGAGAAACCACCAAACTATTTTCCACAGTGGCTACACCATTTTACATTCCTACCGGCAGTGTATGAGGGTTCCAATTTTTCTGTGTCCTCACCAATTCTTGTTATTTTCCGTTTTTTTATTGTAGTCATCCTAATGAGTGTGAAGGTGGTATCTCATTGTGGTTTTGATTTGCATTTCCCTAGTGACAACTGATGTTAAGGATTTTTTCTTGTGCTTGTTGGCCATTTGTATATCTTCCTTAGAGAAATGTCTATTCAAATCCTTTGCACATTTTTAAAATTGTGTCTTTTTGTTGAGTTGTGCCATGTGTTTTTGTAAATATAAGTTTTACAGGGACCAGGGCTGGGAGTACAAGTGTAGGGTCGGATACTGGCTTTATTTAAAATCTCAATGTTTTGTTCATCATGATATTTTTACATTAATTTTGGTTTTTGAAAATACCGCACTGAAAAATTATCTTGATGGCTGGGTTTTTTGGCACCCCCTTATGTTTTGTACTAGAGACCGCTGCCTCATTCGCCTCACTGCAGTCCCAGCCCTGTTTAAATATCTGGGAGAAAAAGAGTTACGGCAACAGTTTACAAATAGCCCTGCGCAGGGCAGCAAGAAGGGCTGCCGTTCCTTCGGAGCCTCGCAGCCCTCCCCCTGGCACTGTCCAGCACAGCCCCGGCCGGTTGCTTGGTTTCTGCCTCCTCCGTGCATACCCGGTGCCCACTCGCGGCGCCGGGCCATTTTCTGTTATTTCCGAGCAGACAGCCTCTGGCGCGGACCGCTCAGGCCCTCCGGGCTCTCGCTGTCTGTCCCTTCCGCTCCTTTGCGCCCCCAGCCGCCGCAGGCCGAGCTCCGGCTGGAATGACGGCTGATGGGCGCCGGCGGGTGTGCTGCGGCCGGAGGGGCATCTGAGACGCCAAAGGAGATCGGCGCACTGTCCACGTGCCCTCCAGCGTCTTCACAAAGCCCCGTCTTGATCTGTCCTGCTCTGTTTAACCCGCTTTCCTACCCCGAGAGCAGATGACCACTTCTCTACCCGTTGTAGCGGAGTAGGAGCAGCCACGCTCTGAGGCATGTGACAGTGCCGCGGCCCGCCCGCCAGCGTGCCCTCGAGCAGTGGGGACTCTCGGTCACTCTGTGCGTGCCAACGCTCGTGGCATTAGGATCGGCCGGCTGTGCGGGGCCTGCGGCCGGGCGGGGCTCAGTCCCTCACCGGGTGCTGGGGGGCGGGCTGCGCAGG